GCTGTATGACACTGCAAGGGCATGGAAAAAAAAAGGGGGGGGGGGGGGGGAGGGGCGGGGGAAAACACACAATTCTAAAGCACTTCAGTAACCAGAAAAAAAACAAACCCAAACCACAGGACACAGGACTGTGTATGTAATTAATAGCTTGATTCAATTAATATAATTTATATTCAAGTAATATAAAACAATGAGACCCACACAGAATATTTTTCTTTGGTATATTTCACTGTTTTTCAAAACTTCTCTGTGAAAAGCACAAGAAAAAGCAACAGTCATAGTGTACTACTAGGGGACGGTATTTAGTCAAGCAAAACAACTGCAGCACACCACGAAGCCAGTAGGGGGTAGTGACCAGCAAACAAAATCTAAAAGCTCTTCGGAATCAGAAATTAAAATCAGCCCATTGGCACTAGTGTTCTGGGAAAGATGTAAACTTCTGACCTGGTGTACTGAGTATTGGAAATTGTACCAATATTTTAATACAGGGAACGAGGGGTTTTGTTTCTGTGGAACTAGTTCAAATTCATCAGCATTCCTGCAAAGTCAACAGTTGTTACAGTAAAATCCTTGTAAGGCTATCATACCTCTAAAGAAGCTTTTAAAATTCATGTGTGTCCCCTCCAACACTCTACTTATGTCACCTCTTAGTTTTGCCTTTGTTTTTGTTTGGGTCTGAGTAAGAAAATCCTGCAGCTTGACCTGTTGTACAGCCAAATAAACTCCGAAGATTTGGTCCTGTCTTGTGCTTTCCATCTTTTCCAACAGCGTGGCACTGATAATATTCCTGAATAGAGAGCATGTTACTTTCTTCAACACAACCGCTTTAGATCTATGGAAAACGAACGAGATGTTATCACGTCCTTCTACTTGACAACTGCATCTGCTTACGTGAAAGAGAGGGGGGATTTCTGCGTATTAATTTGCTTGTGAAAAACAGCAGGCAGAAGGCGGGTGCGGTGACCGGTGCGGGGTGCGGTGACCGGTGCGGGGCGCGGTGAGCGGTGCGGGGTGCGGTGAGCGGTGCGGGGCGCGGTGAGCGGTGCGGGGCGCGGTGAGCGGTGCGGGGCGCGGGGTGCGGTGAACGGTGCGGGGTGCGGTGACCGGTGCGGGGTGCGGTGACCGGTGCGGTGAGCGGTGCGGGGTGCGATGAACGGTGCGGGGCGCCGTGCAGTGACCGGTGCGCGCGGGGCGGCGGAGGGGGCGGTGGAAGCGGCGGCGGAAGGGGCGGGCACGCTGGCTCCGCGGCGGAAAAGGCGCGGCCGCGCGTCCCCGCCATTCCCCGGAGCAGCCCGCAGCGCTCGGAGCCCCAGCATGGAGGAGAGCAGCGGCATCCGCCTCTCGGCCGAGTGCCTGGACGAGCCGCCCAACAGCCGCGTCTTCGTGGTGCTGGGCAAGGACACCGGCGAGGCGCTGATCCGGGAGCGCTTCTCGCCCTTCGGGGACATCCAGAACATCTGGCTGCTGCGGGACAGGCGGACCAACGAGTCCCGCGGCATCGCCTTCATCAAGTTCGCCCGCAGCTCGCAGGCGTGCCGGGCCATGGAGGAGATGCACGGCCGCAGCCTGCTCCCCGACAGCAAGCCCATCAAGGTGCGCCGGGGCCGGGCGGGGCGCAGGCCCGGGAGCGCCGGGCTCGCCTGGGCGCGCTGCCGGGCCGGGCCCGCCCCTCCCGGGCTCGGCTCGCCGGGCCCGGCCGCTCCCCGGCCCCGCGGGCGGCCGGAGCCCGAGCAGGCCTGCGCAAAGGCCGCACCCGGAAGTGAGGGGGCGTTCGTGACAAAGGTTCTTTGTATATTTTAGGTGTTGGAAGCAAAATAGTTGCGAATAAATAGAGCTGGTTTTGCTAGTATGTTTTATATTGGGTTTCTAGCTTGTGAACCCTTTTCAAAACTTTTTTTTGTTTTTTTTAAATCTATGGAACTGTTCTGTCAGCTTTCCACTTCCTGATTTGATTTCCTATTCACTAAGTATTAAGAAAGTATGAATGCGTTTGAAGAGTGAAGGACGATGCCATGTGTTTCACTTGGCAGTACAATTGAGTCAGTGAAATCTTTTCTGAAGATCTTGCCATCAGAAGCCTAAAAAGCTGAATTGTATTCCTCATGCCCTTGTGTGGCTATTAGAAAAATAAATTTAGAGCTCTGTGAAATCAGTTGCTACTTTCGCATAGCAGGCTTGCTTTGAAAGTTTTTCTTGGTTGTTTTGGTTTTATTTATTTTTTTTTTATATAATTGGCCCTTTTTTCTTGGTTGTCTTCTGATGTGCACTTCAGAGATAAAATTTATTTGAAAAACTAAAGAAGATTTTAAGAGTAACAGATATGAGAAGATATGATCCTTCATAGAGCAGTAGACCTCTAAACTTTGGCCCAGCTGAGCAGAGAGCTGCAGTAGCCTGGTTTCGTTGAGCTGCCAGGCTTTCTTGTTGCTTGCTTGCTTTTCTGTTTCTGCTACTGCTGTACTAGGCCTGTTACAATAATGCATTCTTTGCTGCCTGACATGTCGCTGGTGAGGTTGACAGTGCTGCTCAATCAGCAGTGGTATTTCTCACCATTCCTCATCCCTCATAAGGAACTTCTCTGGCCCTGTCCTATTTGGGACTTATTATATTTGTAGGCCTTTTATCACAGGTGGTCACAGGTGTTCTTTTCTCTCCGTGCTAGGACAGCTGATGCGAACAATAAATACGAACACAGTTAAGCTATTTCACTTGTTTGTTGATATGTGTCTTAGACCTTCTTGCCAGTAATTGGTATCTGTGTAATTATTTCATTAGGTATTTATTGCACAATCAAGAGCTTCTGGAAGCCACCGAGATCTTGAAGATGAGGAGCTTACACGAATCTTTGTTATGATACCAAAAACGTACACGGAGGAGGATCTGCGGGAGAAGTTTAAGGTTCTAATTTGCTGTTTGTTGTTATTTTAAAATGCCCTTTTCTAAATTTATTAAAAGGGCATAGCACATGGAACTTTTAATGGTTTTCAAATACTGGAAATGAATATGTTTTTTAATTGTTCTAGATGTATGGAGACATTGAATACTGCAGCATTATTAAAAACAAGACTACTGGAGAAAGTAAAGGTTTGGGCTATGTCAGGTACCTGAAACCATCGCAAGCTGCCCTAGCAATTGAAGAGTGTGATCGAAGTAAGAATCCAAGTGAATTCTTTACATGTTTTTTGCAATAATTGTGTACCATCATAATATACCTTTAATCTTTAGTTTTGTTTGCAGGTAAATTATTCATGATGCAGACATATGTTGAGATAAAGTTCTCTTGCAAATAAATAATAGCATTGTTAACATTCATTGAGGACTGTCACCTGATTATGTTTTTTCAAGACCAAACTGCAAGTAGGATCAGTGAGAAGAGTTTGGAAATTGACACAGTTTTCTTTTATGCATTATTATTGGTTTGTAGTATAGGCTTCATAAACAGGAAAGTATTTAATTTGTACTTGCAAATAGGCAGTTTTAATCATATTAATTTGATATAAAATTATTATATAAAATATATTATTCACAGGGACTCTATTGTTATCACATTTATTTGAGAACATATTCATGCTAACTGAAATTAAGGGAAGAGTGCTTGTTTTTATTTAGTCTGATGATTTATCTGCTACAGGGTGAAAGACTTCGTATGCTTTATTTACTGCCAGCCACTTGGTGAGGCACTGGAACAGGTTGACCACAGAAGTTGTGGGTGTTCCATCCCTGGAAGTGAGATGGCCTGGAAGTGTTCTGGGCAGACTTCAAGAGTTATAATTTAATTATTCCTCTAAAGCCAGTATTTACTGGGTTTTCTGAGTAATGTATTTCTAAATATGGAACTTGAACAATGTGGGCCTGGTCAGATAACTGAGATGTGCTGAGGTGTTATTATGTGTGGTTGTTTCTTTCAGGCTACAGGGCCATTTTGGCTGAACCTAAAAATAAGTCATCTGAGACTTTTGAACACGATTATTACAGTAATGCCATGAGGCCAGAACTAAGAGGAAATACACTTCCATTTTGTAAGTCATGGCTTTTTACACTAAAAATGATTTGTAGTTTCCAGTATGGTCGCTAAGTAATAATGTGGTTTGGAGGAAGGGAAGCTGACGGAAGTCAGCTTAGGTCAACATCTAAATAGTAGATTGGATATTGAAGTTAGAAACAAGGGAGGTATTTCATCTCTCTACTTTTATGGCTTGCTTTGCTCTGCTTGGCCGAGTATTTTTTGACCTGCACTGGTGAAAGCAGCATGTGACCTTTAATATATAATTGACTTGGATTACTTTTAAAAGTCTAATGTAACATATGCATCAAATGAAGGCATGCAAGTATGATGACTCAGATTATTTTGTTGATTCTTGAGGTATGCAGCCAGAATTTTGTAGCTTTGAAAAAGTTGAGACCCGAATTCAAGAACCAGTCTCCAAGCGCCTGTCGGTGATATCTCGGCTCCCCTTTATTCAAGAGCAGCTGTTCGCCCTCTTCGATTTAGTTCCAGGTCTGGAGTATTGTGATGTTCAGAGAGACCCCCATACCAATAGTGGTAAGTAAAAGCACAAAAGGTTTTTGTCTTGTTTCTCTGAAGGGAATCCCTTGTAATTGTACTTAATTAATTTGCACTTCAAAATACTTGTTGGAAACAGTGGTGATTGCTGCTATCACTGCATACATCCAAAAATTCAGTTTTGCTTGAACTCCTGTGTACACATAGCTCTTACGGGCTTACACCTTCACTTTCAGATAATAAAAACTCAAGAAGGATGGCATCAAAATCATGATAAGTGGGTTTTATTCAGATTAATAGTTTGAGGCAGAATAAATGAAGACATTTCAGAAATTATTAGACATTAAAGTAAAATGTTATTGAAACAGATCTTTGGAATTTTTCATTCTGAAATATATGTGTGTGTAGAAGTTGACATGGGTAAATGGCGATTAAATAATTCTGAAATGGATCATATTTTCTACTGAAAGATTGTTTGGTTTCAGTCTTGTTTTTCTGCTACTGAGACAAATATGGAAGTGGTCTCTTCTCCATGAAATGTTAATGATTCAGAAAGTTATATTTTAACTTTAGAGTTCTTGAAATTCACTGTAGATGGAATAATTGCATTTTTAAATAAAACTATGTATCCTTTTGTTACTAGTTCTGGAGTAGTGAGGAAGATCTTTTCACTTTTATGGTTTTACTGCCAGCTTTTCAAGCTAGCATAAATACAGCTCATCTGTCCCCAGTAAATTTCACTGAAACTTCCTTCACAAATGAAAGTGATGAAGTAATAACGATGTGTACTAAAAAGACCTTCAGAGTTTTAGGTCATCCATGGCTGATGTGCCGCTTGAATATATTGCTTATGGGAGTGTAGTTTGTTCTGAGGATTTACCTGTTTCCTGCTGACACTGTGTGCACTGTGCTTGCAGGGTATGCTGTGATTCAGTACAGCACTGCTGCCTCAGCAATATATGCCAAGTACAAACTACATGGGTTTGAGTATCCTCCTGGAAATCGACTAACTGTCGTTTTCCTAGAAGATGGGAATGATAGCTCAGAGTAAGTACAGTTTACAAAGTTGTAAGTTACGTTCTGGGGAGCAAAATATAAAATAAATAAATTTTTAACATAAGATGTAACGTCAGTATCACTATGCACTTGTGCCATACTTGCTGATAGTATTTTCTGAAACTGTTTGGTTTGGGGTTTTCTTCTTGAATGGTTTAGATTAAGTGTATTGAAATTTGGTAATCTTGGTAGATAAAGAAAATATTAAAATACATATTCTTAAGATACTATGGAGAAATCTAGGATTTGGCAATAATCTGTCAATATATCTGTAACATGTAACAAGGCTGGAATGTATTTTTGAGTTTTATGAATTAGAACCAGATTTATGTACGTCATCTCTTGGTTATGTTTGCAGTAATGTAAGTAGTTTTGTGAAACACGTATGTAGAGTAAAACATCTGGGTGCTGAGGATCTCATATTGGCACAGTATGGGGAATTCTCAGGTGTTTGACCATCTCTGACTTCTTCCTGTGTTTTAAATGCCCAGTACAAGTTGAAGCAGCCAAGGTACTCTCCTGCAGTGAGTGTTTTGCCTTAGTTTCATCCTAAAGGTTTCTAGTTTATGTCAAACCTAGGAGATGAAGACAGTAAGGAAGGGACAGTGGAGAGATTCACTTCAGACATGTATGGCTGATCTGAACTAAAACCAATGTTCATTGCAACCTTCATTCTTCAATAATTCCTACATAGTCTTATAACACAGGCTGTATATCTGTGCAAAAAGAGCAATTGCTTTTTCTTACTCTGCAACAGAACAAAGAAAAATCACTGGAAAGTGAGACCTGGATGTAAGCTTTCTATGGTAATATTTTGATCTCTGAACTGAATCTTTGTGTTCTTTACCAAAACAGGTGATTTTTTGTTTCTCTGTTTTACATTCTTCACAAAATGTAGTGGGCTCTTGTAGAGATTAAATAATCTTTTTTTCTTTTCCCTAGAGTGTTAAAAACCCCAAAGAGTAGTTTTGTATAAATGGTAATGAATGAATGTTTTCAGTGAGTTGCTGCTAGCATGCAAGGTTTTCAGCTCTCTCCATAGGCTGTCATGAAAGCCTTTCTTGATTTTCATTATCTACATGACATTACAGATTTCTACAGATACGCTGATGTATATTAGAACTTACTTTTTTTGCTAAATTTAAGATTACTGTAACTTAGCTCTTTCTTTAAAGTAGCTTATTATCACTTCTGCTTGCAGCCTTATCAGGAAAATGGCAACACAGCTGGTGACAGCGCAGGTGTCGTCAGCGCTGCGCAGTAACAGCGCGATGGTTCAGCAGTACAGGACACCTCCTGTAAGTTCCAGCCATGGCTGCTGTTGGTATTCTTCTGAATTGTTGTAAGAAACTTCACATATGCCAATAAAGAGCACTGCTCGCTTGCTTCTGCAAACTGTTCTACGTGCTGCGTTTTTAAGGCGTACCTCGGGCTGGTTGGTGCACTTTTACTCCCTGAAACGGTGTCTGACCTTACTTGAATTTATTGTCCAATTTAATGAAATAACTAAAGTAAATAAAGTAATGAAGATTAGAACTCAAAGGGTCGGTTTATGTCCTGTAATGGAACAAAAATGGTAAGAAAGGTAAAATTACTTCCTCTGCCCCCCCACCACTAAATATAAATGCAATTTATACTTGCATTTTTTTCCCTTGTTTTAGCAAGCATTTGGAGGAACTTCTGGCCCACAGTTGCTGCAGCCCCAAACAGATGCCATACTTCCACCACCCAAAAAAAAGGTTCCACCTGACACTGCTGTGAAGGAAAGGCTTTTCATACTTTTCCATCCCCATCCTTTACCAGTAAATGTACTGGAGGATGTGTTCTGGTAAGACGCTGTTTACAAATAAGTGTTCCCTAAAACTGAAATATTGAAAGTAAATACTGAAAATTAAAAAGAGGGCCTTAAAACCCTTTCCAGAAAAGGCAGTGCAGTGACTATGAAGTCATAAGTGAACAGTAGATAACAGTTACTTTTTCAAAGAAGTGTGTAATGGGGTTCACATTGAAGCATATCATCAGTATCATCGATATAGCAGCTTTATTATCAATTTACTTAATCTGAAGTAAAATGTCTAGTCTTCTTATGTATAGTTTTAACCAAAAAAATTATTACTTCCAGTTACTATTTCCTAATTAATTTCGCATTTTCTTTTACTTATTTTTGTAAGGCATTTAACTATTTTGATAAATTTCCACAGTAACCTAGGGGAGAACAAATATAGAGTGTTGGTTTTTTTCCTGATACATGATAATGGTTTGCATCCAACTAACACTATTTCAAACGTTCCTTCTATCTCTTTGTGTGGAGCAAAGACTTGAGATAATTTTTGCCATCTTTAAAAAAAATGTGTAATTATCAGTTCTCCAGTATTTAATCTTATTAGTTTGTAGTATACTCTTGAAAAAATAGACATTTCCCTTTTCTAATAGCTTGAATTTGCAATAAATCTTCAGGAAGCCAAAATGTTTTAAAATATTCAGGAGAGGAAAACATTTTACGTGAAAGTCAAAGTTGTACTTATATGATATAGTGGAATTTCTTTATCAGATGCTGGGGGAGGAAAAGACCATGGACCCGAGTCTTGATGCTTCAGTATAACTTCAGTAAGAAGCAAGCAGACTATTTTAAAAAAATATTTAAGGATCTGTCTAAGAATCTCCTGAGTGCTCTATTTTTTCTAAAATATAGGAAGAAAAAAACAGTTTTTCCCTCAAGCTGCAGTGCTTGCTTTGAGTCATTTCAGTGAGACCTTTTCAAAGATAAATCACACTGAGCAAGTTCATTTAAGTGAGATGCAGATTTAGCTTCTAAATTTTCTGCTGGTGAGCGTGTGTATGGCTTACTTCAGTTGGTTTGGGGTTTTTACTTGTTTTGTTTTTGTGGGGTGTTTTGAGTGCCATTTAGTGTTTGGGGCCTGCAGTATTGATCAGCTTTACATATTCTTTTAAATAAGACAGAAGTCACTGATATTTGTGGCTCTGTTGTAATATTCTATAGAAAGCATCTGTGAACTTTTGGTGTTCATTTGTACTGCTGCCCCTAATTCAAGAGAAGGGAATATGCAAATTGGGAGCATAGATATAAAAGTACAGTTTTTACAGTTAACAAACCACATGTGCTTCAGACTGGAAGTGTTGCAGGAAAATCTGAAAATTACCTTTTCTCTTTTTTCCCCTTGCCCCCCAGTCGTTTTGGACAATTGATAAGTGTTTATCTTGTGACTGGAAAAAATGTGGGCTATGCAAAATTTGCAGACAGAGCAAGTGCCAGCGAGGCCATAACTGCATTGCATGGCAAGATTGTGAACGGTGTGAGGCTGAAAGTGAGGCTGGCAGACTCGCCCTCGGAGGAGCCCAACAAGCGCCAGAGAACTTACTGAGCAGGTGAGTGCCCCCCTGCCTGAGCTCTTACCCCCTGCACTCCAGACACCTGAAATAGTGACAGGCAAAGATTTTGACGTTAGATAACACAAACATATAACGAAACTCTAAATCTATTCTTAGCTAGCAAATTGAAATAGGATTTTTGATACATCTGTGTGTGTATACACATATTATATGGGTGTGTGTATGCTTATATATATATACACGCACACGCACTTTATTTTATAAAAAGTCAATTTTTATAATTAGTGAAAAAAACCAAATCAGTTGATAAAATTCAATCTGGACGTTCATAGAAATACCACTTTTGTACTTGGGAGAATCAGTTGACATTGAAAAGAGTATGCAAAAATAAACAATGAAACAGACATAAGCTTGTGTGTGTGTTTTTTTTCATTGCTATCATATGCCCTCAGTGGCATTAGTTAAAGATGAAAAGTTGAGCCGTTGAAGGGCAGAGGAGTGACAGGGTAAATAAAAAAAGGATGGGGGGGGACAGGTAAGATTGTCAAGTGAAACCCAAAATTTGAGATATTTGGGTCATCTGTGTTCTCAGAAATCAGGTGTAGCTGAAGTACATGATAGCAGAGAAAATAAAGTAGAGGCTGTGGTGAAAGAATTGAGATAAAGTTCTCAAACTAATTATCTCAAACACCTATTATTTTATGCTTATGGTCTGTGAAAGCTGGCTAAACTCCTGGAGATGTTTTATATCTTACTGCCTTCAGGGACCAAAATTCAATTGTTCTTTTAAAACATTGCTTTGCTTCAAATTATATTGACTTTCATCATATTTTTGAGTTATTTTTGGTTTTTTTCAGCATTAGGACTATTTCCAAAAGAGAATAGTTGGGGGAGAAAAGCCTAAGCCCTTTTTTCTACAAAATAACTCCCAAATATTACTATAGCTTCCAGATATTTCCAGTACCATACTATCTTCCTAGGGGATATGAAATTTTGATTTAACTAATTGAGAAAGTATCACGTGACTGTTTTTGCATCAGTATTTTCCCTCTAAGCTTCACTCCTTGTACCTTCCTTTGCATAGATGTTCTTTGTGACCCCAGAATTGCAAAGACAAAAAAAAAAATCTTTTGCCCAAAGTATTCTTTTTCTTCTTCTAAGAACGTCCATTTTGCTCTTTTGATAAGCAGCAGATACTAAACATGGCCTTATTTTTTATACACAAGTTTTGTTTTGATAAGTTGGCTTTCTGGGCGTTCTTTTTCTGCATGGAATTATAGCTAAAACTAAACTGAAACTTTTTTTAATCATCAGCTTTGATGAATGAAATTTTAAGTAACTTGTACCCATGCTCTTACCTTTGTACAACATTTTGTTTGTTTTTAATGTGACTTTTGCTTTCAGCTATAAAAACCCAGCCTCTGTGTCCCTACAGGAATAACTATGGTGTGGAGGGTAATTTAATACCAGTCTGCCTTATGTACTTCTTACTGGAGAAGTGTAAATACAACATGCATTTAAAATTAGAAAAATTATTTACCCCCATTTTTTCATACACCAGGTTCTTGATTCCAAGTTTTGTAGCAGATTGTCTTGGCATCTCTTTCCAGGATAGACAGACAAAATTACTTGTTTATTTGTCCTTTAGTTGGTTTCTCAAATTCACATGAAGTGGTACCTAAAAGGAAAGATTGCCTTTCAAAAGGGCTTGCCCATATAAGTGATTTTCCCACTGCCTGACTTTGCACTGGACTGACTGACAAGCTTTGCAGTAATTTGGAAGCTTATATTTTGCTTTTAATTAAAGTGTTAAATTATGCACGTGAAAAGAGATGCTATTCTCCCTACCACTGAAGTAGTTGTAGGGTTTTTTTAAGATGTGAGAAATTAACCTTTTTTATTTTGAATTTTAGCTGTAGGAAATAACCTTCCTAGCTAAAACTTCTGTGAGTGTTCACTTAAGGAAGTAATTGTTTCTTAACAAAAAAATCCTTTCTAAAGTCCTGTTGTACTGCTTGTCTTTGTCTCTAACAAGTTGATTTGATTTCTGAAATAGTCTTTTCTATACAAGGTTTTCTGATGAAAATTCATTATAAGACCTGTGAATTCTAGAATCTTTATGAAAATAAATGTCATTCAGTGTAATAATTAAGTAAAATATTTTACAAAACTGTTTCTTAAAAAAGGTAGCAGTATGCTGCTCATAATGCTTTTGCAGTGCAAACTTCTGACTATAAGAACTTTGTTACCTTGCAACAAACTTTATCAGACACATTTGAATAAGTATCTTAATATTCTGAACTAGTCCACCTAATGAATTTTACAGGCTCTGATCCTCCAAGTCAATGAAAACTCCATTGTTTTTGTGACTAGTTAAAAGTAGTAGAGAAAAGATGGAAATACAGACCAGTAGGGTTCTCTTCACCACTTTAAGTTCTAATGCAAGTTTTTTGGGGTGTGAGGTTATCCCCATTTATGCTAAGTAAGTATTAATGAGTGAAATAATCACTTCAAACTGTCTTGCTTTAAATCAGTGTAGGGTTGAGAAGACAACTACAGTGTCTACTTCTAGGCAGTTACCAAAAGCAGACTTGTCGTAAAAATCTTGCTGACCAGCTTGTGCTCTGCACTCAGGGCTTTATGTTACTTTGTGAAAAGCTCACTGCAGTGTCTGATGCCAGTTACACACACTTTGTCATTCCAAAATAGAAGAGGAAGGGAAGAATTTGCTATCTGTCAGAAGAATGCATTGTGGCATTCCAGTTAATATCTTCATTGCTTCCTTGTAGTTCTATTTAATTACCACCCCTACCCTTGGAAAAACCACCCCAAACTACTAAACAAGAGCCCCACAAGCAAACAAAACAAAAACTCCGAACCCACCCAAAATGTCTTTCATAAAGCTTTCAAAATAGTCCTTAGAAAGCAGAGTTTCTAACTAGTGTTGTGTTAGAAATTCCAGACACAGCTACATGGAGCAATGTTCTGTGGCTTTTGATACTCTTTGCTGATTGACTTCAACCCGCAGCAGATGGATTCATTGTATTTTCCCTTGCTGAAAAAACTTGAGTGTTTTAAATAATTATTTAGTTACTAAGTTGAAAAAAAAAAATTGTCATAAAATACTTGGTTATTTTTGTCTTTGGTTGTTCTTGTTCGGAAAAAGTGCTGCATCACTGATTTCATTTGCATTCAATTTTTTGGCTTAAACCTTTATTAAAATCCTGATGTTAAGATGTGCATATTTTAATGATTTACTGCTCTGCAAAAATGTTTTTAAAAAGTAATAGTATCATAGCTGTGACATACATAGAAAAAAATAGCTCTATTTTTCATCAACAGTATACTGCCGAAAAAATGCTGGCTTTTGCACACTGCTCAGAGAAAGAGGCACTTCTTTAAAAGTTAGAGAAGTATGCTTAAAACTTTAGTATTATTTTTCTAAAGATATTTAAAGCCTTATTTGTGTGATGTTATAATGATTATCTTTTATAATATGTACTTTGAAATAAAAATAGGTATATTGCTTTTTGATACCATTTTTGTACTTGTGTTTTTTCTACAGAAACTAAGTAATGACATGACCCTCAGCTGACTGACTGACTGACTGAAAACGTGACTAGACATGGTTCCTGTGGACAGTGACAGCTTTTTTCAGTGACAACTTTTTTTTTGTTAATTGTTACTTAGTTGATCTCTCTATGATCTTTTTTCTGAATATGCAGACCTACAGCTTTGAAAATGATGTAGGCATTAAAAACTGTAAACTGGTGGTTGTTCTTGTAATAGTATATAACCTTGTATTACAGAAATAGCTCTTGTTTTTACCTGAATCCTTCCTATAAGATGGAAATTAAAATAATGGAGGAAATAAAGGAGCCAGCATTTTCTGACTTGAGTGGTTGATTGATAATAATTCAGATTCTGTTAAAATAGAAGACATCTCTCATGGTCCAAATTGCACTGAAAAGTGAAGTACAGCAGTTAATTCAAAGAAAATGAAGCAACTTTACAATGCTAGCAGACATGACAGTATTAATCTAGATTTAAGAAAATAATTCAAAGTACATTCTTAAATATTTTGTTGCTTTGGGCCACAATTATTTGTTCTGCTGTTTAGTGAAAGGAACTCTGTAAGACTGCCAAAACTTCTAATATTTATGCTTTCTTATCCTGAGGTCTTTTGGCTATAACTGCAGGGAAACTGTAGAGTCTAGGGCTGTGTGTTTGTTTTTCTTAGTTTTGAGGGATTGGGGTGTTTGTTGGGTTTTTTTTTTTCCAAAAGCTTTCAATGCATATGTTCAAGTAAGAGTTGGACAAGTCAAGTTTGCAGCAGGATGAAGACAATTTTAGCACTGATTGAGAGTAAATGAAGAGCGTTCAAATAAGTATGTGCACAGATAACTTTCAAATGCCATTACTTTTCCATGTATTCTTGTATACTACTTGTTGAATTGGAAATATCCTGGTTATTAAAATATGATATCCAGATAAAATTGATGAATTCTACTTGTATGCACTCTAGAGAAGCATGCCCTTGGGTGCTTCCTGCTTCCCAGCATCTCCCTTATGGTCCCTTCATCAATTGGTTCAGAAGTTTAAATTCAAAGTAACAAACCATGTATTTTAAAAAATCCCATTTTTTTCTTTTTTAAAAGAATATCAGAATTAAAATTCTCAAATGGGAACAAGTTGCAGAATAAAGGTTGCCTGAGAAACCTTTTCCTTCTCTCCATTCCAGTAGTACCTGTTAAAAAGCAGTCTTTGATGACTCACCAGCAGTTCTTTTCTCCAAGTGCAGTTGTTTCATTCAGCACAAATATAATTGAATAAGGGCTGCATGAGTGAACCAGGCTGTAAAATTCCTGCTTAATTTGGTGTAGCTGTTAGAAATCAGTGAAAAAAAAATTATGGTTGAGCCCAGAGAATTGGATCCCGTCTCTTACTCTAGCCCAAAGGTTGGTTGTAAGAAGGGTTGCCATTTCTCTTGTGTTCCCCTGAAAAAGTTCCAGTTTGGGTTTTCTGTTTGTTTATTGGATTAGTTTTGTTTTGTTTTCCCATCTTTCATGGTAAATTTCAAGTAGCATTTGGGAACTTTCTGTATTTGCACAGGGAAAATAATTCTGACTAGGTTGCCATAAATCCCAAACTCAGAGCTGTCAGGCAGTGCCTTTACATCCTTAACTGTACAGTCAATGTGTGCAGTGAGTCCAGTATTTTCAGAAAGCATCAGTCCTGTGGACATGGAGAGACAACACAGTCTTACAGAAGGTCTGGCACATGCTGCAGAACCTGGATGCTGTGGTGGATCTGCACTGTACCAGGTGAAATGCTGAGAATCCCTGTATAGGCAGCTGGAAAAAACCCAACTTCTCATTTGCGTGGTAGAATTGGCCTCTTGATGAGTCT